GCCCGGTCCCCTGGCCCCCTGGGCGGGGCGTCGGTGGTTCCCCGGGGCGGGCGGGGGTCGTGCGGGATCCGGACGGGGGAGGGCGGGCTGGGGGCTGGGGCTGGCCTCCGAGCGGGGCTGCAGCCCGCGTTTCCACACCTCCCCGCTTTCCCTGCCCCTTGACCCCGGGGCTGCCCTCCTCTCCGTTTCCCCTCCCTGAGGACCAGCTCAGTGGCGTGGGCATTGCTCCCTGGGCTGAGAGCCTCCGGCTGGAACGCCCAGCTTCTCCTGGTGGAGTCGGGAAAAGGGAGCGCCAGTGCTGAGCAAGCTTCTGTCTCCTCCCTCAGTGTTTCTGCCCCAGGTAAGTACCTTGAACACTTTTCAGGTATGATGGCGGTGCTTGTTGATGTCACGTGTTTTTATAGTGAGAGGGATTACAGTGGTGAAAGCAGGGCTTGGTTCAGTTAAAGATGAGCTGAAGGGGTGAGGCTGTTACATCCTCCTTCCTTCCCTCTCCCAGGGTGAAACGTGTGACTGTCGATTTTAATGATAGTTACAGTCCCTAACTAGCCCAGCCCAGCTAGTGTGTGTTAACAGGAATGGCACCACCAGAGGCATTGGAGACCCAGAGACATTGCAGTCCTAAAGAGCTCCTGGCACAGTATGGTTTGTTGTGTTTTTTTTTTTCTTAAATTGTGGGGCAGACTAGTTGTATAGAGGGAAAAAAATTTGTCAAGAAATATTTTTTCATATAACAGCTTTATTGTGATATTTTTCACACACCATGTAGTCTATCCATTTAAATGTTACAATTCAGCAGCTTTTAGCATATTCACAGATGTGCAACCATTATTATTCCAGAACGTTTTCATCACTTCAGAAAGACCAGTGGAAATGAATGACCTATCCACCCCTCCCCAGTGGTGGTTCTAAAGAATTTTCTTGGCTGTTCCTGATCATAAATTAACTTGTTATGTGAAGGAAAAGCCCAGCTTGGCTAACAAACTAACTCGCAAATTTAAGTGTGATAAGTGTCTGTTTACTGATATAAGTTCTGCCGGGCTAACTCGTAAATCTGAAGTTCAGTGTCAGTTTACTGGGCTAACAACCTAACTCGTAAATCCAAGCTCAACAAGTGTCAGTAACGTGATCTGTTCCGAATTGATAAGCTTCAGTGTACTGATTCCTTGCTTTTTGTTTTATGAACCTTATTGGCTAATAGCCCATACTTGTAATTAACCCTATAAAACCTCATCTGTAGGTCTTGGAGGTGCTCAGAGCTTCGGAGCAGTAGCCCCTGTGAGCCCGCCGGCCTAATAAATCTGAGTACTCCAATCCCCCGAGTGGTGCTTTTTTCTTGGCTGCCCTGTCATTTCTGTAACAGTTACATTCCATGAAAAATATGGTAGGAATTCTCATCAGAATTGCATTGAATCTGTCTATCAAAGCAGGAAGAATTAATGTCTTTGTGGCATAAACTTCTTCTACCCATGAATATATTTGGCACCCTATCTTTTCATCTGTCCACAGCCTGGCCCATGGGAAGCCCTCACTAATTTTTGGACTTGTGAATGATGGGATTCTATACATCATTAGTTGCAACTGTAGCCTTTCACAGAAGAGAAAAGTAACCTCAGTGAAGCCAAGTGACTCTCTGATGGTCAGAAAGAGTGACAGTCAATGCTGGAGAGATCCAGTGGACTTCGTGCTTGCAACCAGAATTCTCCACCACATAAAGATAAGGGGATTACAGTGTTCTTTTATTTTTTCTTAATGGCGTTACTTTTATTTTTACTTTTTTTAAAATTATTTTTTATTGAAGTGTAGTCAATTTACAATGTTAGTTTCAGGTGTTCAGCAGAGATTCAGTTATAAACATATGCATATGTATATACATATGATTTAGATTGTTTTTAGTACAACTCATTACAAGAAATTGAATATAGTTCCCTGTGCTGTATAGTAGGTCCTTGTCATTTATTTTATATTTATTAATGTGTATCTGTTAATGCTCCCTTTCCTGCCCGCTAACCACAGTTTGCTTTCTTTGTCCATGAGTCCATTTCTAGGAGCACCGTTTTTTCTAGTAATATATGCTGCTTGGCTGCTTTCAGTTTCAGTAATTCCATCTTATCTGTGGGTGCTTTTCTTCTGGTGGCCTTTATGTGGTTTGCACACGTGGTAATAGAGATCTGTATTTGGGAGAACT